AACTTTAAATTTTAGGGTAGAGTCACCTATGCTATATTTGAGCCAATCTGGCTAATTTAAACAAATTTTAATTTTAACCTTAACCCTAACCCTAATAATTTATAAAATTACTTAAATTAGTTTAAAATAGTTAATTTTTATATATTATAATTGTATAATAGTCATATATGCCTATACAATAGAAAATTCTATTTTACAACTAATATATTAATAAGTATATACTGCTTTATATTGGTATAACTATATACTTTCTTTCTAAAAATTTTGATTTGTATCAAGCAATTTTAACTATTGAAGAATTTCTTTATTCATATTCAGGAGAATATTAAAAAAAATTTTTTATTGAAGCTATTTAATTATTAGAATATATAACCAATTAATTGAAGAAATAACAGATAATAATAAATTAATTGTTAATGATGTATCTTATATATGTTATACTACTTATACAATTCAACTAACTATTAAGAATAGACTTAATATATATAATAATCTTTTAATTAAAGCTAAAGAATTAAATAATTAGTTAGTAAAAAGAAATAGCTATCAGCAAAATTTTTACAATATTTAATATAAACTTATCTAATCTATAGCAAATATTTTTGATAATAAATGGCTGCTATTAGAAGATAAACCTTTAGAACAATTTAGAATTCATTTGAATCAGTGCAACAAAATTTTAATACAGAATATTTACTATTCTATCATTTATATCAAAATCAAATCTATTATCTATATCATTTTTTATACAAAAAAAAATAGTAGAATTAATTTATGATATGAAGACTAGATAAAACTCTACTTACTTGGTGCTAAAAAAGATTTGCTTAATTACAAGATACTATTGAGTAACTTGCCAAATCACTATGTCACTATTCCGAAATACAACAAAAAAAGATGATTAAAGCTTATTTAATAAATTATTTTTAAAAAATGAATAAAAAAACTTAGAAGTTAATAAAGCTTTTAGAACTCTTTGCACAAATAACAAAATTAATTGAAGGATCATTTTATCTAATACTAAGTATAATGCTTTCTATTATTTTATATTTAATTATTGTTATAGCTGATGCTGAAGTTTGGCTGATGTTGAAGCTAAAAAATCTGATTGGCTAAATTTTGCAGATCACCCTAACCCTAACCAATCAGATTTTTTAGCTTCAACATCAGCCAAACTTCAGCATCAGCCGTCACAATTATTTATTTAAACAAAATAAAATTATCACTTGTTTTATCTAATATTTTGAATATTTGTTATTAAATTAAAGATTCTATATCTACTTATTAGAAAAATCCTTAATAAAGTATTATATTTTTTCTTATCTAGACTCCAGAGATTCAAGTAAAGTATTTAATAGATGATAAATTAGAATATTATAAAAAACTTATACAAATAAACAAATATCAAATTAATTATTAACTTTATAAATTATATAACCCTCTTATGTGGTAGCATACAAATAAATATATATATATTTTTTTTAATATTAAGGTGAGACCTTGCTTATATCTTTATTAATAGTTTTAATCATAGTAATTACAAAGAGTTACTAATCTTAATATATAAAATATAAAAAGTAAAAACTACATTGCAGAAATAAAAACTAAACTATTTTATCTGTGACCTAAACCTACTAGAGTAGTCAAAGACTCATCTAAATTTGTTTAGAAAAAAGTAGATATAGTATAAATAGAGTATTTAGTTGAATGAATTTAAAGTAAAGCTAAACTAAAAGATTTAAAGATTTGTATATTTAATAGTATAAAGTTATGAGATATAATAAAGTTACTAGACTATATTTAATGTATAAAGTTATAAAATATATGAGAGATAATAAAATATATAAAGGTATATAGTTAAAGTATTAAGGTATAAGATATAAAGTAAGTTTTAAATTAAAAGGAGGCTTTCATTAATGTTAAGAATTTTAAATTTTGTAGTAGATTTATTAAAATGATGCTGTTATTGTTTGTTAATTTTAGGAGTTTTAGATTTTGTAGAAGAGCTGATCAGTTATTGTTATTGTTGTTTTTGTTATTGCTGTTGTTATTGTTGTTATTGAATATTGGAATTTGCAGCAATAAAATCTGTATACAATATAGTAAGAACAGAGATCTTGAAGTTTTTAATTAAGTATTGGTTTGTTTGGTCAAGATATGATTTTTTTAGATTTCTTTTAAAGTTTGCAATAGTTAATTTAGAGATTTGAGTAATATCGTAGTAGACAATAATTCTGGCTAAGGTTTGTGGTTTATAGATGTTAAGAAGAATTTGTTTTAGTGCTTCCTTAATGTTAAGATCTATAATTTGATTATTAATTGTGACCGTTTTAAGTATACTTTAAAATAACTATAGAAAAAAAAAGAAATCTGTTTAAAGTTTTGAATTGTAAAATTTGATTTAAAAAGTTTTAACTTTTTGGATTCAATAAATTTTTGGTTAAGTGTAATAAATTTTGTTCTGCTTGGTTGGCAAATTCATAGAGGTCTTTAAAAGAAAAGACAGTAGAAAAGGTAGTGGTATAAGGTTGGTTGGATAAAAATATAGAGTTATCAATAGTTGGGTAAATATATTTAGAAGCAGGTAATGTTTGAAAAGAAAGTTTAAAGAAGTGAGTAGTTAAATTGCAAAGATTGTGTATAGTATTTGGTGTAAGAATTGTGTATTTGGTGAGATCTATACATGTATATATACTATATGTCAGAATGAAATTATTATAGATTTAAAATCCATCTATGTTGATTCCAAATAAATATAGGTTGTAGTGAAATTCTAAAATGTGTCTGTCATTAAAGAATTCTAATTTAATATAATAAAATTAAGTGTATTCCAAATTATTTTATTGAATATGTTGTGTTGGAATTTAAGTTGCTTTAAGACAGAGTTTATTCAATTAAATTTAAAAGCATCACATAAGGTTTTTATCTAAATACATTTACAATGATTTTTTTGTCATGTATTTTTACAACTGCATTTAATATTATCTCCATGTAATTGTGAAGAAGATTGCATAATAGGCATTATACATCTTTCTAATAATACCAGCTTGCACCCAAGTCTATATTATACGTGTAATCTTTCAAACTTTGAGAATCTTGCATGTGAGTGCTTTTCGATCTTTGTGTTTGTATTTTCTGGGTCTTGTAAAACCTAAAAATCAAAGTCTTTACATGTTATGAAGGTTTTACGTCGACTATTAGCCGATTTATTGCTAAGATATTGGGAAAGCAATTTTTCGAATGCATCATGAGGTAAAATGAATGATCTTAAGAATTCGGTCATCGGCTATAGAGTATAAAGAACGAACAAGTGAATTAAGAAAAAGAAAGTAAAAAAACATTTGCATTTTATCTTGATAATTCATTATGTAATTTATTTGACTACCGTTACGGTGATCGTATCGAATTTAAAATTAAGTTGCTATTAAATTTACCGATTATTACAGTATCGAATTTAGAATCAACTTAAGTTGCTTTTAACTTTCATATCAACTTGGACTATATTTGGAATTCCGTTTCAACATAAGTAGATTCTAGAACCACAATAATTCCATTCCGACGTACGACATATATATATATAACGATAATTATTATTGCAAATAAAAAAAAAGAGCGAGTTACATACAATACATTTTATACATAAAATAATATGATTATGACAACCTTTTCACCATAAATAAATATTATTTAAAGCGCAACCTTCAGACCCACACCAAGAGTACCCTCAACTGGAATATTCAAATTATCATATTGTCTTCTCGAGTTAATTACCAAAAAAGTATACATATTAACCAAAGCCTTTCTCCACCATGGAGAACCAGGCTTAGGATAAAATGATAGTTCACCTAAAACATATGTGATCGTTTTACTATCAAAATTAATGTCATTCATTAAAGTTTTGTTAGCAGGGTCAACATTTTGAATTGATTCAACTAATTGTAAAATAAATTCTCTTCCTTGTGAGACTTCTTCATAATAACCATATCTGGCAGTTGCATGATAACAACCTTCATACTTTCCAACTTTTTTCACTATTAAACGATCATTGTCACCGACTACTGGAACGGCTATAGGTCGAATTGTGATAAAAACGAGATTTTGAGGCACGATTGGGAAATGTTTTATAAAGTGAGAGAAAGATAGCGGAACCTTAGATCCAACACTGCTATAGAATAAACCAATGCCCGGAGAACGCGTTACATGATTTTCAGCACCTGATAAACGAAGTTGTACTACGTTATCTGTTTTATCTGTTTTATCTGTTTTATCTATTTCTATAGTAGCCTCTTGAAAAGTTGGAGTATCATCGTTTGTAGTATTATT